ATGAGACAAGTATAGATGATATCTGACAGTGATTAAAATCACTATCATAAGAAACGCTTCGATGCAAATCTGTAGATAGTGTTTCCTTTAGAGAAATTGGTGAAATATTTTAAAAGCAACATGAACTCTTATTTCTTTAATTATATCCTGATTAGTAGTTCTTTGATTTTAAAATATAATATATGAATAAATACTAATTATAGTTTTTAAATTTAGTATGAAATTGTGTGGCCAGCTATGATGTATGGTTCATAGTGTTGGGCGGTTGATAAGAAAGTAGAGCAGAGAATAAGTGTAGCAGAGATGAGAATACTTAGTTGAATGAGTGGACTGACTAGAGAAGATAGAATAAGGAACGAACATATAAGAGGAAGTACAGGAGTTGCGTCAATCGTGGATAATATGACAGAAAATAGACTTAGATTGTTTAGTCATGCTATGAAGAGAGAAGAATTGGAAGCTGTAAGAACAGTTATAAAAAATGAATTTTGAAGGAAAAAGAGGTAGAGGAAGACCAAAAAAGAGATTGGGGGATGTTATTGAATGCAATATGAGGACAGCTGATATGAGCGTAGAAGNTGAATGCGATTTGAGGACAGCTGATGTGAGCGTAGAAGATGTGGGAGATCGTGTCAAATGGAAGTTTAGGATAAGGGTAGCCGACTCCATGTAGTTGGGATTAAGGCAAAGAAAAAGAAAAAGATTACCAGAAATTCCGGTGGCAATTGATATAATATAATTGTTGTTTGGGAATGTACAATTTAGCGTTAAGTTGGGTTTAAACAATGTAGTGTTCAAATCAATTACCTACTCTATCGGTTGTATATTAATATACACTACAATTTAATGTTACAATAAATAAATAAACTCAAACATACACACATATGCATTTATAACATTGTGTCTAATGTAAGTATAACATGATAAAAAATAACCGTAAAATGAAAAAAAATGGGAAATAAATTTTAGTACTCATATTAAATGTAATGTAACTCGAAAAATATTTGTTTAAATGAAAAAATATAAGATAATTTTTTTGTTTATAATTGTCTTTTAAACAACTTTTGTACGAAACTTGTTTTTGTAAGTTAAATATATTTTGAGAAAATTAGAAAAGCTCATAATTTTGAACTTTTGCGAGGCTGTAAAAAAAAAGCTCAATTCCAATCTTGAGGACTATTAGTATGTCATTATACATATTTTAATTCAACTTTTAAAAAAACAAAATTTTTTCCGCAATTTTTCCTTTGTTGACTGGCCTAGATGTCAATTTTAAACTTGTAATTGAGCTAAAAGTTATGGTAATATATTCAATTTTTTTTACTATAAACTTTCATAAATCTTTATCAAAAATTTTTCATCAACTTTAAAGAACCAAAAAAATAGGTTAAAATTGAAAATTTGGACTGATTATTTTTAACATTAAAAATCAAATCAGTAATAATTTGAAATCAAATTTTTTTTTCTTTTAATTATTATTTTATATATAATTAGTAATAATATAAAAAATTAGAAGTCATAGAAAAAGTCTACTTGCAGATTTGAAAACAATGCGAAAAATTGATTTAGAAAAGTATATTTTTGCTTCTGACGAAAGTTCATTGTAGTCCAGAGCATTTTTTTATAGTAACAAACAGTTTTTATTGAAAATTATTGTATCAAGCCCTTTAAATTTTTATACACGTAAAAGTAAAGCAAAATATAACTTCTTTATTATTTTTATAATTTCTCCGTTTAAATTACAATATTAAATTATTAAATATCAATTTCATACTAAATTTAAAAACTATAATTAGTATTTATTCATATATTATATTTTAAAATCAAAGAACTACTAATCAGGATATAATTAAAGAAATAAGAGTTAATGTTGCTTTTGGAATAATCCACCAATTTCCTACTTTAAAAAAAAAAAAAATTTGGTTGGGAATTTTTCCTGCTATTCTCCAAAATTACTCCTTCGTTGACTAGAATAAATCATTAAACAGAAAATTTATGAGGATTAAAACAATGTTATTTTTAAGATTAATATGCAGTCAGAAAGTTTTATAATTATTATTTATTGTAAATTTATCAGAAAAACTCATTATTTTTTGCATTTTTATCGTAATAGAACACTTAAATAGAAATCATAGTAATCATTTCTAAGTAATTTTTGATATTTAAAAAGATTCTACTATTGAAATATCCAGAACTGAATTAATTTTAATGATTTACTTTAATAAAAAAAAAAAAGTTAATATTTTGAATCCCTCTTGTGGGCAGGTAAAGGTTTAGATTTATAAAAAAAAAACCAAATGATAGATAAAGACATGCATCTATATAAAAAAAAAATTGTACTGATTTGGTCATTTTTGATAAAGTTTAACAGTTATATAACAAGTTTTATATGCTGTACTACAAGGAACTTTCATCAGAAACAAAAATATTTTATTCTAAATCAACATTTCGCGATGTTTTCAAATGTGCAATTAGACTATTTCTATCACTTTTAAGTTTTAATATTATTAAAAAATAGTATTTACATATAAAAAAAAAAATTAAGAACAAAAAAAATTGTTTTAGATTAATACTGATTTTGATTATTAATATGTTAAAAATAAGGAAAATGACATATTTAACCTATTTATTTAATCGTTTAAAGTTGATTGTTGTAAATGTTTATAATAAAAAAAAATAATTTATTTTACCATAACTTTTAGCTCAATTGGCAAGTTTGACATTGAGAACATTAAATAGAAAATTTTATGACAATTAAAAAAATTGTATCGTTAAGATCAATATGCAGTCAGAAAGTTTTATAATTACTATTTATTGTAAATTTATCTGAAAAGCTCAATATTTTTTTGCATTTTTATGGTAATAGATAACTTAAATAGAAGTAATAGTAATAATTTCCTAGTAACTTTTGTTGTTTGAAAAGATTCTACAATTAAAATATTGAAAACTTAATTAATTTTAATGATTTACTTTAACTAAATGAACCAGTCAAAACAAAGTTGTTAAAAAGATTTACTCAATTGAGCGTATTATAAAATTTGATTATATTTGTAAAAATCATTTGTTAATTCAGGAGAAAAAACAATCATTTTTTTTAACACGCTTATATTAGTTTCACATGTATGTTTGTCACGTCGTGTATGACCTTGAGACTATACTGTCGTATCGCATTCGCCCCACCCCGCTCACCAGTCGTAGACAACAATATTTTCCAACCCGTACACGCGCGTGTCATCAATTAAGTATATATATATATATATATATATATATATATATATATATAACAAATTTTTATTGTGATTGATATGGCCCCGCGTCGATTCGTTATACACAATGCCCCACGACTCGTGCCACCTTTATCAGCCGTCGCCCTATTATGAGTATTTGACTGATCAACACCTCGCGTTATACGCCGCGGTGCAAAGTCCAGCAAGCGCCGCACGCCCGACGACATCCTGCCGCAAATGATACCGTAGTCTTCTTCCCGTTGTCAAAGTGACAACGTCTACGATTAGATCCGCGCTCGCGCAACGTCGCCATCAACGCTGCTAACCTGTTGACGCCCGAGGAACACGCCGGACAACACGTCGTCGACGCCAACGAAAGTGCCGCGATATTATGCGAAGATTATTTTATTATTATTATTATGTTCATCTATTCGGTTTGTTTTATTTTTCGTTGAAATAACCTGTTGTTGCTCATTAATAAACAGTCCATGGGTCTCTATCCTCAAAACCAGTGACGACCACATTTTTATGACGTAAGTAGTGTCAACTGTTTATAAGATGGTAAGAAGACCATTTTCTGACTTGATTTTAACATGCTTATGTTTTATTAACACGCTTATATTAGTTTTTTTTTCAAATAAACCAGTTAGGTTTCCTTCACATTCTCTCTTCTCCGATTTACTTCAATCACACAGTTCGATAGCAGTGAATTCCCCACCCGGTTATAATAAATTGTCAATAGCTGAACAATTATAGATTTACCAGCTGTTTCTCTATACAAACTTTATTGCGCGTGAGGCGCCGCCGCTGATACACATAAAATTGCAACAATAGACAGCAATTAGTATATAGCTAGAGATTGACAAGTAGTATACAATATCAACGCGTTTGATATATCATTTAACAACCGGGTCCCATAAAACCGTTTGTATTATTACTTACGTTGTAATGGGTAACAGGGAATCAGGGTTCGATTCCGGTGAGGGAGTCTGAGAAACGGCTACCAGACCATGGAAAGCTGTAGGCACGCAAATTATCCACTTCCGGAGGTAGTGACGAAAAATGATGATACGGGACAAATCCTAGGACCATAAAAAACAGCTATATCTCGTGTATGATACATTTCCGTACATAAGTTTCATTATTATATATATATTAGGGTGGTCCTTAGTTATAGAATAAAAAATTTTTTTTAAGAAATTCAGAGTCATGGGCTCAAAATTTCGTTAGGTTCTCTGAAAAAATGAAACTGGTAAAATTTGAGTACAATAAGTCAACCACTTCACGTGCCTCAAAGGGGTTGAAGTTCTTCTAAAATGGGGTGGATTATCTTTTTTTTGAGTGTACGCTCTCTATTTTTGAAGTTTCGCCAAAAACATAAAGAACAATTTTTATAGAACTCAATGTGAACAAAAATTAAGGTAATTTACTATTTTTTTGTAAAATTAATATTTTTTCGTAAAAATAAGAAAAATCAGTTTCACTTAATTTTTTTAAAAAAATGACATAGTTTTCAGTTATACTTTTCCAGTGTCTTAAATTTTAATTGTGCGCAGAAATTGTACAGAAGTAATATTAATCACTGTGATATCTTCTATAAAAAACGTTATTTGAGTTTTTTTCGAATTATGAATCCTTTTTAAATAAAAATTTAAAACAACTACGAAAACTTGTTTTTTTTTTAAATTTTTTTTGCATGTATGTTTTTTTGTTCATAAATTAACAAATTTTCTTAGTTATATTAAATAAAAAAAAAACAAGAAACACAATAAAATAATAATTGTAATAGATGAGTGTTTAATATTTTGGAGAAAAGCGCATATTCCTACACAGTATTCTTCAGACTGTGTTATTAAATTAAAAATATTGTATGAGAAATAGAGATAGTTGGACAAAAATAAATCTAGAAAAACAAACACAAGAACAACATTATAATATTTTTTCTGAAGAATTAGACAACCTCTTTGACATTTCTCATATCGAAGCTCTGAATATGATGAGTATTGAAGAAGACAAACAGTTCTTATTGTCACAACTTAAAAAAGGCCACTCAGGAGCATGCTTGGTAATGATATGAAGTTAATAGGTATTGAAAAACGTAAAATTACTCGACAAGAAGAAGAAGATGATCGAAAGAAAAAAGAGAAGTTAGAAATTGCAAATTGTACAGGTAATTATTAAATATCACACAATAATTTCAGGACATTATAAGTAAGCAGTTTTTATATACCGAAGTATTTTATTATTTAGCCGAAACTCAATATTATAGCAGCTCTAGCTCGGAGAAAGAAGATATTGATATGGAGGAAAACGTTGAAGAAATGAGTCAATGTCTTGGGCCTTCAAAAGAAGTAAATGCACTAGAAGATATATGTTGTTTTGTAGTTGAATGTTATATTAAAATGTGGTTTTCAGCTGCGAATAAAAATAAATATATTTTTAAAAAACTAAAAAAACACGCTTTTAAAGCACATCGCACTTAAAAGTTAAAAATAAATATAGTTTAAAAAAAAAACCCAGCACAGGGTAGTCGCGGCACAGTGGTGACGTGGCATAGTTGGATCAAGTATAATGATATCTGACAGTGATTAAAATCACTATCAAAAAAAAACGCTTCGATGCAAATCTTTAGATAGTGTTTAATTTTAAAAAATTGGTGGATTATTCCAAAAGCTTCATAAACTGCTAGTTCCTTATTAATATCCTCATTAAGATAAAGTATGTTGAATGAAAAAGGGATTATTAAAAAATAGTATTTCCCATAAAAAAATTATATTGATCAATACACTTTTCAATAAGTTATAGCATTATAAAGTTCAAAATGTAAAAAATAAAATCGATAATTTTCAAACAATAATAGTATTTGGTAGCCATTTTCACCGTGAAGACAAAATAAAGTCCGAAATTTTTTTTTTACATAATAAAAAAGATTGCATTAGCTTTAATTCAATATATATATAAAAGTGTCAGGCTTTCCGGAACACTTTCAAAATTTAAGTTGAAAAAGTCAATTTTTTGTGAAAAATTTGTCATTTTGAATCCCCCCCTGTAGGCAGGTAAAAGTCAGATTTATCAAAAAATATGCCAAATGATAGGTAAAGACATCATGAATCTACATAAAAAAGAATTATATTGATTCATACATCTTTCAAAAAATTATAGCATTATAAAGTTAAAAATATAAAAAAGAATTTTTTTACAAAAATCGTATTTTTTTATTAAGTTTAATGTCTATTTTTACCATGAAGATAAAATAAAGTCCGAATTTTTTTTTTTTCATAATAAAGTATATTACATTAGCTTTCAGAGATGCCTTGTTGGCCAGTTTAGTATTAAGTAACCCTCCAATCCACAATTCTATGATAATTTATATATATATTGTTACTTTAATATATAACTCCTTGTCTTGTAATTCTTATTATTTTATATAGTGTAAGTACCATCCTCTTATATACAGTCCACTCCCTATTTCTTTCTCCGGCATAATTAGACAACCCAACCGGACGTGAACTAACCCGCACATTATAACTGGGCGCTCTGTTCAAACATATAATACATTAGCTTTAATTTAAGTTATATATATAAAAGTGTCAGACCTTCCGGAACACTTTCAAAAGTTAAGTTAAAAAAATTAATTTTTTGTGAATAAGTTGTCATTTTAAATCCCCCCCTGTGGGCAGGTAAAAAGTCAAATTTATAAAAAAAATATACCAAATGATAGGTAATGACATCATGCATCTATAAAAAAAAGAATTATATTGATATGTTTATTTTTAAAAAAGTTACGGCAGTTTTTAGTAAAAACAATTTCGAAAATTAGCGATTTTTAAATTTGTAATTTTTTTGGAGGTTTCCCTCATTTACGGGAAACGAGGGAATTTTTTTCAATTTTTGAGGGTAATGTCTTCGACTAGATACGATTTGTGATCTTTTGACGTTTCATTGAAAGAAATCGGTTCGGTGAGAGCTGAGAAAAAGTGGTAACAGACAAAAAAAAAAAAAAAAAAAAAAACACATCATAGTAAAACCAATACCTTCTCAGCTTCGCATCGAAGCTAAAAAAGAAAACATTAAATTAATAAATTTAAGCTTAAATTCTCAACTAAAAAAAAAAAAAAAACACGCTTTTATAGCACATTGCACTAAAAAGTTAAAAATAATTTTTAAAATGAGATTAAAACAATAATGAACGAAAAATACTATTTTAATTGCGTGATAAAATAAACTTAAAACAACAATGAATGAAAAATACTAGAATTATTGTGAAAAAAAGCGTGGGTGCTTTGTGCCATATATTTCGTATATTGAGCGCCCGACCCTTTTTTTCACAATAATACTAGTATTTTTCATTCATAATTGTTTTAATCTCATTTTAAAAATTATTTTTAACTTTTTAGTTCGGTGTGCTATAAAAGCGTGTTTTTTTAGTTTTTTTAAACTATATTTTTTGAAATGATTTATAAACAACATGTTACAAAATTTGTAATATTATAGTCTAGTAGTAAAAAACAGCAACAAAATACCACAACGGTGGTTCAAAGCGAAGAGAGAAAAAAATTTTATTACACACCGGCTAGACACAACGACGACGACGACGATTACGTTTGTGAGAGGGTATCGGCTTAACAATTTACAAAATATGAAAACGATAAAAGTATGAACAATATTAAAATTATACAGGTATCGACAGTGGTGGCCAGTGTATGTGTCATATAGGGAACGATTATTAAACTGATAAAGAATATTGTGTGTATAGCGTTCACCTTGACAGCAACAGTACAGTTTTCTGATTACACGGCCGGATATAACGTACGTGCGCCTATTAGCAAAGCAAAACAGTAAATCTATCTATATCATAGAAATTCACATTTTGTCACGTTACAAGACTTTGACTTAACTATGATGTGTTGTTTTTATTTTCTTATCCATATAAATATTCAGCTGTGATTGGACCGATTTTAATGATTTATACATCTAAAGAACCCGATTTTAATGTAGTGGATTGTTATAATTAAAAAAAATAAAATAAAATGTTTATAAAAAATGGTTTTGGCTATAGAATGTAACCTATGAGTTTATAGGGGTTGTGGGTCCGAAGGCTTAGAACAACGAAGACAAGTAGATATAAAAATACAAAGACCATATATTCTGAAGGATTGGCATTAGCGAGTAAACAAAATCGGATATCTCTGTAAAAAATAAAATGTAAATGTAAATTGTCTTCATCCTTCAAAGCTATATCAAATAAAAGCTTAAAGCTAATCTAAATCGTCTTTCCTGAAAGGTTTGATCATTTTTACATCGTAATTATTTTATAATAATGATGTTAATCTCTGTCAGATTATATTTATTATTGTCTCAACTATGCTATACTCAACCCAACTGCATTTCCACTGCGCTGGGGTTTTAATTTATATTTAATATAATATGAATTTTTATGATAATTAATATTATAACCAAACCTATGCAAGCTAAATACTTTTTTACTATATTGTTTAAAAAAAGGCAAGGATCAAAGAGGGATAATTCACTTATCGTCCCTCTCATCAATTATAACCCACAGTGATTTTCCCTGAATATTACAAATTAAACATCTCTTTATTTATAATAATTAAAAAAATTTTAATATAATTTTATAAACTATAAGTAAAAACTACTTAGAGTATTTATTAGTATTTACGAAATATTCACATCATGTTCATCGTCTTCATCATCGGCATCATCTTCATCCTCTTCATCATCTTCATCGTCTTCATTATCTTCAATATTTATCAAGTTTGCAAGCAGATCTGAAATAAAATTTTAAATTTATTATTATTATACAAATAGTTGATATTCCCTCAAAAAGTATAGAAATTACAACATAAGTTTTAAAGATTTGCATTAAAATTATTTAAAAGTAAAACAATATTTTTTATATTTTTGTTTTGTAACATATATAATTAATTAATTAATCGAACAAAAAATTGTTAGCAACAATTATTATTGAATAATTTTAAAGTATTTGATAAAAGTAAAATATGTTATTAAGATTAATTGTAATCCAAAAATTAATAATTATAATTTATAAATAATTTAAAAGACATTGACTAACACTTGGCCTGTCATCTTACCTAGATCATCCTTACATACTTAAAAGCATTCAAATATAATTACTTTAAAGGTTAGTACGTCTCTAACTAATTTTTTTTTAAAAAATGTTATAATAATATTTTTATAACATTATTTGTAAAAATGCTTCAAATTATAAAACCAGAGTTAACTTCTGAAGTTTATTTATAATTTACAAAAAAAATTGTATAGTTTTTTTGAAAATTTCTTACGTAATTAATCAAATAGTGCAAAAATTCAAACTAATATTATGTTACTTATTGATTTTATTTTTAGCATAATGTCCTATAAATTACTATTAAAGTAAACCTTTAATTAGTTAAAATCAAAATAGTTGTAATTGCATATTTTATTTTTCAGATTTTCATCAAATAGCTCTAAGAAAATTGTGTAAAATAATAATCAAACAGTATAGATAAAAACATTAAATACGACTGTTTTTTTAACTAAAAATGTTTTAAATATTTTTATACTTTTTTAAAAATATGACAATAATTACTATTGTAAAGAACTTGATTTTCCTTTTCTAAATTTTTGTGGCTGGGAACAGCCACAATCTTGTGGCGACAGTAACAGTGTTACCGTTTTATGTCGCATGAGTTATTAATGTTTGTAAATTTATGTGCTATATGTTATGTAGGCTATTCCTGTACCTAATTAATTTTAGATTTTTATTTTACTGTCCATCAGTTGTTGTGATATCAGACATATTTTACTTTTTATCGTTCCTTTTGGTTATAGTTACAGTCGACTTAACCTCGTAATATCTTTTATATTATTATTTTAGCTTCGATGCGAAGCTGAGAAGGTATTAATTTTACCATGATGTGTTTATTTTTTTTTTTATTTTTTTTTTTGTGTCTGTCACTACTTTTTCTCAGCTCTCACTGGACCGATTTCTTTTAACAATACGTCAAAAGATCACAAATTGTATCTAGTTGAAGACATTACCCTTAAAAATTTAAAAATTTTCCCTCGTTCCCCGCAAATGGGGGAAATATCTAAAAAAATTACAAATTTAAAAATCGACAAATTTTGTCATTTTTTTCACTTTTTTTTCTTAAAACTTCCATAACTTTTTCAAAAATCAACAAATCAACATAATTTTTTTTTAAACTAAAACCTTAGATATTTTCCTTTCATTTGATATAATTTTTTTGAAAATTTAACACTTAACCTGCTCATGGGGGGGGATTTAAAATTGCAACTTTTTTACAAAAACTAACTTTTTCAACTTAATTTTTGAAAATGTTCCGGAAATACTGCGTCCTTTAAACATATATCAAATTAAAGCTTATTTTATGTACTACTAAATGAAAAAAAAAAATTTGTCCCGACGACCTATCTTCTATGCGCAAAAGGCTACCGTATTTAAAAATATGCTATTTTTTATTAAAATTCTAGGTTTTGTATTTTATTTTATTTTAAAATATTTTATTAGGGGAATAAACTGACTTTCATGAATATTATATAATTTCATTGACATAGAATAAAGTTCATAAGACATATGATATTATACTTATTAACATTTTTTACTTTTTTAAAGTCGAAAAAGTAATTTTTAAATTTGAGTTAGCTTAAATAGCCAATTTTATCATGCAACAAAAATCAACGAATAGTTGCCGAATGGGTAACACCTTGATCTTTAACGCCTAGGGTACGAGGTTCAAATCCGTTTGTGGCTTCTAAAATTTTGCATTTTTTTTTTGAGTTAGAATAGAATTTTCAAATCATTTGATATTTATCTCATTTAGATTCAATAATTTCAATAAATATAAAGGATCCTATCACTATAGTTTCCCCTCGTGAGAAGAAATTGATATTCATGTTAATATTATTTTACTATGTGGTTCTTTTTCTGGCTACGATTTATTTTGCCAACCCTCACTAGACCTACTTTTTTCAACGATACGTCAAATGATTCATTTAAGTTTATGATATTTAAGTTAATGATTAGTTTAAGTTATTACTCTTAAAAATCAAAAAAATATTCCTTATTCAAATAAAAAGTAGCTTAACTAGATTTGTCCATACAAACAATTAAAATCATTAATTTTTAATATTCTTAAATTATTTATTGTCGAATTAAATTTGATATGATAAAAGTATTCAACTACAAAAGTAAATAATTTTATTTACTTTATAATTTATTAATTTTTTAACTCTATTTCTGTGTGCTACTACCAGTCTTAATATGCCAAATTTTTTAANGTGCTACTACCAGTCTATAATATGCCAAATTTTTTAGTAATATGTTGCTATATAAATCATAAATTTAAAAAAAAAATTATTTTTAGTTTCACCTGAAGTTAACGATGGAGTTTTACAATTATAATTATATTTTTAATAATATGCTCAATTGAGTAAATCTTTTTAACTACTTTGGTTTGATTGGTTCATTTAATTAAAGTAAATTATTAAAATTAATTAAGTTCTGAATATTTCAATTGCAGAATTTTTTTAAACACCAAAAGTTATTAGGATATGATTACTATTCTTTCTATTTCAGTTATCTATTACGATAAAAATGTAAAAAAATCGAATTTTTCTGACAAATGTACTGTAATTAGTAATTATAAAATTTCCAGATTGCATATTAATCTTAAAAATTTCATTTTTTTCAATTTAATAATGTCAATTTCAAACTTGCAAGTTGAACTATAAGTTATGGTAACAAATTCATTTTTTAGCTTCGATGCGAAGCTGAGAAGGTATTTTTCATTAAAACTTTCACTTTAAAAGACAATAAAAAATAGGTTCAAAATGATTACCTTTAACATATTAAAAATCAAAATCAGTATTAATTTAATACAATTTTTTTTGTTCTTAATTATTTTTTTTTATATGTAAATACTTATTTTTTAATAATAAGTAATAATATTAAAACTTAGAAGTAATAGAAAAAGTTTAATTGCACATTTGAAAACATCACGAAAAGTTTATTTAGAAAAGTATATTTTTTTTCTGATGAAAGTTCCTTTTGTTTAGTGTATTTATTCATAAGTAACAAAATTTTTTTATTAAAAAGTATTGCATAAATTCCTTTAAATTTGTATACGCATTAAAAGTATATGAATATACAACTCCTTTTTATTTTTATAATATCTCCGTAAAAATTACAATATTATATTATTGAATACCACTTTCATACTCAATTTAATTACTGTAATTATTATGTATTCATATATTATAGTTATAAATCGGGGTAAAATTAAGGGAATAAGTGTTATTGTTGTTTTTGAAATAATCTACCAATTTCATTTTTTTCTATTTAATAATATTTATTTCAAACTTGCAAGTTGAGTTAAAAGTTATGGTAATAAATTCATTTTTTTTTTATTAAAACTTTCACTTTAAAGAACAAAAAGAAGTAGGTTCAAAATGATTACTTTTAACATATTAAAAATCAATAATAATTTGAAAATAATTAATTATAAAAATTATATAATATATAATTAAAATAATTACTAATCTGGATATAATTAAGGAAATAGGAGTTGATGTTGGGTTGGGTTGGTTACATTTTTAACTTTATAATGCTATAACTCATTGAAAAGTGTACGAATCAACACAATTTTTTTATGAGAAATAATATTTTTTAATAATCCCTTTTTCATTCGACATACTTTATCTTAATCAGGGTATTAATAAGAAACTAGCAGATAATGTAGCTTTTGTAATTATCCACCAATTTCTTAGAATTAAACACTATCTACTGATTTGCATCGAAGCGTTTCTTATGATAGTGATTTTAATCACTGTCAGATTAAATCTATACTGGACCCAACTATGCAACATCCCCACTATGCCGCGACCCCACTGTGCTGGGTTTTTTTTTCTTTATAATTAAATAATAAAACGGATTTGACGTTAATAATATAAAAATTCGTGTTATATTATTTTATTTTTTTTTGTATATAATCGTAAATCGAATTCTTAGAAAATTAACTGATCACTTACCCTCTACATTTTTTTTGATTACTAATTCACAGATAATTTTATAATTAGAACGATCTTTAAATAATGGATTTTCCATAATTCGTTTTACATAATCTATTTTAACGGTACCATTACTCTTTATAGAGATTTGACGTAGTTTTTTTTTTAAATCTGCTTCGTCATTTTGCATATGTTTGAGTATATAACTAATATATTCTTTAATTAACTCCTTTTTATTATCTAAGAAAATACCAAAAAAATTATATTAATATAGAACAATAATCAAAACCGCAAAATCAGAAAAGCGTCAGATTTATGAATAAGATTTATTATGTTTTTTGTAATTGATTTAAATGTCTGTAAAATACATCAATTTATATTGACTCAATAATATGTTTGAGTTATATTTAGCAATAAAGTAGAGTATTTCAATCTAAAAATTTTATCTGTTACAATAATGTAAAATTCTCAAAAGTTTCTGAAAAAATGAGTATCTTAGATAAATGTTGTGTATAATTTATTCGTGATAATAAAGTAATAAAGCTCTCTGTCTATTTTTTTAATTAAATAAAGTAATTAAGTTTGTTTCTTTATCTATTAACTCATAGCTGTGTTTAGAATGCTTTGCTCTTACATTGTGAGTCATTTTAATGTTAATTTTTTACATAACAATTCATAATACGAATATTTCTATTACTTAAATCATATGTACTTATTATTGTTATCAAGAACTTTCTTGTGGTTATCAATTCATTATTCCACATTTTCCACCAACTGTTTTGTTCGGTGACTTTAACGATTGCCACTGACAAACTCAAGCTTTTTTCTTCAATATACATAGTTGTAGATTTGGCTACGTTTTAGTACCACTAGGAGTTTTATTTCAAAACATTTTCATTCAAGATGAATTCACCTAAAACCTGACAAATTTTAACTCGCTCTTTTTCTAATTCTTCTGTCAAACCGTCTAAAACTCCGTCGTCTTCTTCCACTCCCCTTTCGTTAGAAGATTTTCATAAGGGAATTAATATGCTACATAAAATTCAAGAAGAGACTCAATCGCAATACTCCAATAAATATCTTCGTTCCTGATAAAATTTTTAAAGTTCCATCATTGGACAACACCCACTTTTAAATATCTTATTTTCCAAAAAAAACAAGCTAATGCTAATTTTAAATAATCAAATCTTCCTAACAATTATTTAATTTTTTCAGAGCTAATATTTCAAAGATCTTAATAAACGATCTTCCATTTCTTCACCTGTCTGTCACAATAATATAACCTCATGCTCTCCTACCACTTTTCTTCTGCTTACAATATCCATTTTTCTTGTCACTCTGATGCAACTATTTGTACCACCTATTCTTATAATCTGCCCCCAAATTGTTTTTTTCCTTCGATAATATTCAAACCGTATTAATTTTTCTAAAAAACCTTTATTTTAGACAGCTTCAAAAATGTTTTTCAAGTTAACGCTGTTTTCAATGACATTTAAAAAAGCCTTTGATACAATTGACCATCGTTTGCTTTTATCTGAGCTTAAATCACTTGGTATAGGTGATCCTTTACTTTCTTAGCTAGAGTCCTACTTTACGTTAAGAAAACAATATGTTTCCGTCAATGGTGCTAACTCTAACATTATTGAAGTTCCTTCTGACGTCCCCCAAATTGAGCACCTGAGGCCTCTGCTTTTTATTCACTATGTCAACTCTATTACTAATTACTTGTCTAATTCCCAAATTCTCTTATTTGCAGATGACAAGAAAATTTTTATGAAAATAGCTTTTCCCTCTGATTGTTTACTACTGCAGGGAGATCTTGATTCCTTTGTTTGTTGAGTTAATCGGATTGACATCTTACTTAATTTCAGTAAATGTTACATTTTGACATTTGCCAAAAAGCATGTTTTTCTTTTTCACTCCTACTCTCTAGATAGTACTTTGTTAAAGCATGTATTTCCTGTTAATTACTTAGGATTTCATTTGACTCCTTCGCTATCATTCGATGTTCATATCAACATAATAGTTAGCAAAGCCTTAAAAATGTTAGGATTTTTAAAGAGTCATACTAGCCTTTTCACTTCCCCAGAATTTTTACGTTCCCTCTACTTTTCTTTCGTTTTCCCCATTTTAGATTACGGTGTGGTTGTATAACAAACTCCGAATTGAAAGACCCCTAACAATATTACTCCATTATTCAGTCCACTCTTAGTATCTTGCTTCCAGGTGAGTTGACGCTGATCATTATTTTATCAATGCTCTACTTAATGGTTTAATTGATGCACCTGACCTTTTATCCTCTATATATTTTCATGTTTCATCCTATCCCACTAAAAATCACTTTCTCTTTCATGTTCCCTCTCTTAGCTCCACTTATTATAATAATACTCCGCTCCCTTAACAATTCATAGTTTTGGTCACATCTACTTTTTATAAAATAATATTTAATTATAACCTTTTTCTTTGATATAGATTATTATGTATATTATAATATACATGATAAAAATAATTATTTTTATAAATTGCCTTTTTTGGCGTATTCCCATTTGAAAAAACAAAATTCACACCCATACAAAGCATAAGGGATGTATTTAAAAAGTATAACATAGCTTCAAGAATAATACGTAACTAAAGAAAAAATAAAATGTTAAAATAATTTTTATTCTATGAGTCATTGGAGGGTTGTAATAAAAAAATCATTCTGTATACGTAAGACAAAAATAAAGTAAATCTCAAATACCATTATTCATATTCGTTATTAACCTCAACAATATTGTTCGTAATTTTTTATTATATTTTTTTGAATCCCTAACATCATCATAAAATTTATTCATATCATCTTCATATCCATTTTCATCATCATTAACCAATTTCCATAAGTAACCTGACATAATGTTTGAAAAATAAGTTGATATGGGATACTTATCCTAAAAAAATATCAATACTAAGTAATAAATTAGATTATGACAATTATTAAATTAATAAATATTTAAAAATTAGTTTAAGCTATACAGGGTGATTTTTTTATCATAACCCACTCAATTACTTGCAGAATAATAATAATTTAAACATTTTTTTTTTTTATTATCTTTAGTTACACATTATTCTTGAATTTTTAACTATGTAATACTTTTTAAGTTCATCCCTTATGCCTTGAAGAGGGGTCAACTTTGTTTTTTTAAATGGGAACATNGGGGGGTCAACTTTGTTTTTTTAAATGGTAACACATATTTTTAATTTAATAAAATGTTTGAGTTTTTAATTTAATAGTAAATGGCATTTGAATTTTTAATATAACTTTATTAGCTTATTAGATATAAACATTTAAAGTTTCAAAATTTTGAGTTAATATACATGTATAATACACATGGGATTGTAAATACAGGTAGCTAATTGGATTTTTATGACATTGCTGTCTCAGTCACGGATTGTTTATTATCAATATATATACTTTCTGTATTGTCAGTTAGTGTATTTATAAACTCATAACAATGTGCCTTACTACAATTGATAATAACAATGCTGTGTACCTGCTAATATCGATGTTATAAAAAACCAATTAGCTACCTATATTTGATATACCTTGTGTATTATATCTGTATATTAATTCAAAAATTGGAAACTTTAAATGATTATATCTAATAAACGAATAAAGTTATATTAAAAATTCAAATACCATTTACTATTAAATTAAAAATATGTTACCATTTAAAAAAACAAAGTTGACCTTCTTCCAAGGCATAAGGGATGAACTTAAAAAGTATTACGTTGTTAAAAATTCAAGAATAACGTGTAACTAAAGATAATAAAAAAAAAAATGTTTAAATTATTATTATTCTGCAAGTAATTGAGTGGGTTATGATAAAAAAATTACCCTGTATACAGTAAAAGTAATTTTTAATTTGTAAAATATATTAAGAATACACCCATAATATAATAATGGCGCTGCGGTTCAACCGCTCAATGTTGCACATGTCACATTATGACAGCTTTACCACATAATTTGGACTTACAGAAATATTTTTATAAAAAAAATACTGAAGTGTTGAAAAATGTAGATGACACTATTATTCAAAATTAGCGTAGAGCCGTTTATTCGCATTAAGCCCTAGATAAGTCCATAATCCTTAAATCTGGTGTCCATCCGACATTACAAACTACAGACCTATATCCATTCTCCCTCATATAGCTAAAATGTATGAATCCTTGGGTTTTTCCTATATTAAAAGAAGTGTTAACCACATTCTCAGCGACAGCCAACATGGCTTTCGTCCTAGGAAATCATCAGTAACAAGCAGTCTCGTCTTTTCTTCTTATATCCTAGATAATTTGTTTCAATTAATGGTATGCTTTCTGATCTTTGCATCATATCTTCTGGCTTACCTCAAGGTGGTCATCTCAGCACTCTCTTGTTCACCCTTTATATCAACTCCCTTCCCGATTTTCTCCTAAAATCTAAAGCACTTCTTTTTGCCAACGACATCAAACTTTTTCTCAACATAAACTCACTGTTTGAGTGAACGCTTAAGTTGGTCATCCTGATAATTGTATAAGTTGGTGATAACACTCCACTCATCGGACGCTTAGCCGATACGGTTTGTAATATTATTCTCACGCTATACGTCGTCTTACGACCATTTATTTTTTTTGTTGTTTATTATCTTTCGTTTTATCGCAGTCCGTAAGTGCTGTCTAGCTAACCTTAGTTTACAAACATTGTTATATTGTAATTTAGACTTTCGTTTAAGTTAAAGCTTTTTTGTATACGGAAACGGCAATCACCTGTAGCTACAACATTTAGCTTGTATTATATTAATTTGGTAATAATTTTTAACAGTTTAATGTATTATTATTTACTTACACCTCGTGGTTTGCACATTAGCTTAAAGTGACGTATAGCGTTCAATTGTTATTTTGCATTTTCATTTGGAATAACTTAATTTTCTGTTTGTTTGTAAGAACAAATTTACTTATTAGACCATTCTTCTTAAATTGTAAAATTTTCAAATCACTTGGTCCATTTGTTCAGTTTGGATAAAATTTACACTTTTATCCAATCTAATATTGCATTTTGTCTCTTTTATTAGGTCAGTATTTTATTTTATAATAGTGTTGGGGCTTTTGAACTTAATATTTGCTCATTGTCGTTGCACATGATTGTACAATCAATCATGTTGTTTATTTACACAGAAAATCTACTTCATTAGTCCATTTGATTGCACAATACTTAAATAAATGAGCCGCTAGCCTCAATATTGTATTTTAGTTGACTGTTGTATTGTTCAGTTAATTATTTTCTTATTCATTTATTGTTACATTTTAATTTAATCGACCACTTGGTCGTGATGAGGTTAAGATAAATTCTTTTTTCCCTTCTCTCGAACTTGAAGTTATTGTTCAGTAGTTTGTTATCGCATCATACCTAGTTTATAATCTTTTATTTATTTATTTTTTTTAAAGTGATTTACTGGAACAATTATACTTCATTACACTCTATAACACTTGTTAATTTTATTCAACTTTGTAAAATTTTTGCACAAACTATAATAGTTATTCTGTTCAATTGTTTATGTTCTATTGTATGTATAGAAATATAATTCACCATGTGTCAATTTTAATTAATACTTTGCTTTTAGAAATAAATTGAATTTGTTATTTTTATATCATCTCTTTACTTAATATAAACCAGAATCTCAACATCACTCATACTCCCTTGAAGGCTTAATTCTCAACCGTGTTTCCGTTATTAAAGACCTCGGCATTTACTACTCTCCTTTTCTTTCCTTTAATTTCCATATGAACAATATTATTTATAGAGCTCTATAAGTATTAGGCTTTAATAAAAGAAATACTTCGAACTTCTCCTCTACTTCCTGTCTCCGTGTCCTCTACCTATCCCTGGTTCGATCTATACTAGAGTATGGGGTTAAGTTAACCCTTACCTTGTTAAAGATATATTTAGAATGGAAATACTAAAAAATAAATTCCTTTCCTATGCTGCTTTCCTTTTGAAAATAAATCATCCTCCTCATAACTACTCCCCTATTCGCACCGCTATCCGACTTCCTTCCTTAGCCTTTCCAGAGAGGATGTTGACCTGTCATTTATAAAATTCCTTCTCAATGGTTCCAGTGATTCTCCTGAACTTCTTTCCAAATTATCTTTCCGAGTCCTTTACCATAACACAATAAACCACTCCCTTTTTCAACTTCCCCTTCATCCTACCTCATATGGTCAAAACCACCCTCTCCGTAGGATATTTAGGCGACTTAATGAGTTTAGTAAAGACCTTTTTTGTTTTTAGTTTATAGCATTTCATTGCGTTTATCAAAATAATTTATATTGTATATACAGTAGAACTCCAATTATCCGAATTAATGGGGACCGGGACCCATTCACTGACTAATCAAAATAAACAATGACAGGTGACTGCAATGCGCCGGAACTGGAGTGGGAACTCTTACCACGTGTTGTGCCTACACTGACGCCGCGGACTTTGGACAAATTTTTTTCTGATTTTTTCTGAAAGTGATTCGGATAATCGGCGATTCGGATGATCGGAGTTCGGATAATTGGAGTTCTACTGTAGTAATAATATTTTGTTGTATAAATTTAAACTTAGCTTTTAATATTTTTTGAAATATTGCCTGTTTAGGCGTTGAAAAATAAAATAAATAAATAATTCCATACAATGTTTTATAACAGTGAATATAGAATAACACACTAAAAAAAGATCAAAAAGATACGTTGACTTTGTGTCGGTGTGCGCGATTTGATTCATATTGGGCGGTGTCACAAAGATGACTACCACGTGTATTTGCGACGGGTCGTTATTGAAGATTTATTTAAGATCGTTATTTAAGATTTTTGTAAATATTACAACACTAAATTATTAAATATCAGTTTCGTACAATATTTTATTGTTATAATAAATATTTATTCATATATTACACTTATAAATCTTAAACTTGTAATTAGAATATAAATAAGGAAAGAGGAGAGCATGTAGCTTTTGGGATAATCTACCAATTTTTTAAAAAATTAAAAACTACAGATTTGCATCGAAGCGATTTTTATGATAGTGATTTTAATCACTGTCAGATTAAATATATACTGGACTCAACTATGCTACGTCCTCACTGTGCTGGGTTTTTTATATTTTATAAGCAAATTATCATTGATTGTTGTTTGTATAAATATTATACCCAAGCCATTAAACTATAATAATAAATATATAAAATATTAATAATGACTATAAATACTTGTATTGGATCATTGTTATTGACTTCACTAGATATAGGATCAATCTACAAAACATTAATTTTATTTTTTATTACAATTACTATCTTAAGTTGCAAAATATTTTAAAAATTAAAAAAATAATAATCATGTAAAATAATAATAATTATGAATACTTATTTTACATCATTGATATTAGTTTCCTCGTCTGAGCAGGGCAATCCGAATGAAAACTTTGGTACTGTAATTAAACAAATAAAACATAGTAAAATTCCAAAAGAAAAATAGAAACACATTTTTAATGATTATTATAACAGCAACAGTAATGAAAATATAATTTCAATAATATCAAGTAAACTTGAAGTATTGTTTTTATCATTAAATTAATTTCATTTATATGTAAAAGTTCAGTCAATTTTGAATAATGAAAAATATGGAAAAAAAATGTGTTTAAATTTTAAGCATTTCAAATGAAACTTGTATTAATCAAATTTAACTTTATTTAGAAATATGATTTACAATTATTATAAATATTTTTAGATTATTGCAGATAAATTTTATTTACTTTAATTTAATTTAATTTATTTTAAACATACCAATTTTTCTAAAAAATCACTGATATTAGTTTTATATTTAACTGTGTTTTATATTAGTTGGTATTTAAATTTTATCATAATAGTAAACGATTATAGAATATAGTGCTATTATTAAGTAAAAACACATTTTATATAGCTGGATATATTTAAATATTACCTAATTTAATTGATAAGAGAATAAATGTAATATTTCAATGTTCATCGTTTATTTTAATGTTATATTTTTCAAAAATTAAGTCATAGGTCAACTTATGCACTGACATTAAAACTTAAATTAAATAATTTTAAATATAGGAATTAGTTAATATGTAACTTTCAATAAGTAACTGTTAAAATAAAAATTACATTTTTAAAAAAAATATACTATAAAAATAGACAAATAATCAATTAAAATATTTATTACTTATTAAATTATTTATGTATTAAACGGGCAAATCGTCATTTTTATAAACATTATTCACGACTACTGTTATGTACGAGGCAGCTAGACCATAGGACGGCTAGTTGTGCACCGCACAAGAATGCCGTTTTACCTTAAGCCTGTTTAAAAAAACGTTATTATTGATGCGGGAGTGGGTCACCTAGGAGATGACGGCTAACTATGCATCCATTAAGTAAACGAGAGTAGACAATAATTAAATAACAAATAATCACATTGTTATGAATACTTAACTTAGTTTTATTATTGTTCTACAATTGTAATAACAGATAATCATAAATTGAATTGTAATTGAGGTCGGCCTATAAGAATGTGTTTATAAGGTATTTTTCGGTGTTGCAAAACCGGAAAGTGGGCCGACTGCGACTGTTGTAATTCAGAGCATCGTTAGTCATTTGACAACTATTGTGCGATTACTATTACTTTTATTTTAATAAACTAATTAATTATTCGGCAATACTATTTTATTTTATTCTATATGTTACTCTCGTAACATTAATTTTGGTGGCAGCGGTGCGATACCGAAGAGACTGGTGCCGAAAAATAATAATTTTAATTTTTATCATAAAAGTTACTAAGTACGCAAACAATAGTCAAATAACTCATCAGAAATCTCAAGAAAAGCATTGAACTCAACATACAGAAAATCTTCGAAAATCAAACAACATCAAGAAAATCGAATCAAAAATAAGATAAAATAATAATAATAAACAACAAATAAAACTTGTCTGTTTTATTTAATACAATTAACGGTTAGTAATTTTTACTGTTATTTCGTTCACTACCAACGTATATACTTTCGCCGTTGCCCGAACTTATATATATATATATGATATATATTTTACACAAATTTATTAAAAAACTCACTAAAAACCCACAAGTCAAGTTCCTCCGCGTGACCAGTTTTGGAGCGTAGAACATCAATAAAGAAACATCAATCCAACCCAACCAAACTATCAACACATCATGTTTATGGTGGTGAATGTCTTATTACTGTAAGTTTTATTTTGTAGTTTAATTTATTTTTATATAAAAAGATATAGATAATATTTTTCGTTTTTAAGTGTATTCATTTATACGTACATACATATATATATATATATTTTTTAAATAAGTATCAGAAAATCTTGTGGGTAAATTAGTTAATCATTTATATATTTATATAATTTACATTTATCTATTTTTTATTCATGTTTATTATTTAATTATGTTTTGTTGAATAAGCTCAGATTTGGAATTTAAGATAGTATTATAAGTATTGTTTATGAGTAATTCTAGTAGTAGAAGTAGTAGTCCTATCGACGACAAATCTGATTTCAAACCAACCTGTAGTACTAAAATATCTGTTTCAAAACTACCTTCTCGTAATTTACGTTCAACTTCGTCGTCTAATCCTCCTATAGAAAATTTATTAACTAAAGGCGATGCTCTTCTTGAATCTTCTTCTGAACTTTTAAATATAACTTTTGGTAAACTAGGTGACACCGAAAGTTTTTTAAGTCAGTGTAGTCAAACCTTGTTAATNTTTTTAGGTCAGTGTAGTCAAACCTTGTTAAAATTAGAGCAAGTCCAAAATCCAATTTCTGATTTTAATCCAATTATTCCTATCAAACAGAAATCTATCGTACAGTCTCCAGAATTTCAGTCTTTATTTATCGAACAGAACCTCAATCAACCTCTTCCCCTACCTCGTGAAATGGCCAACAATCAGATAAGTCTAGAAGCTGCCCTACGTCTATTACCACAGTCATTTGATGGTACCAGTTCAGAGGATCTTGAAATATTTTTAGAAAAATGTGAGTTTGCCATAGATTGCGCAGACTCAACAGCACAGGAAAAGCTTCTTAAAGGTATTCAAGTACGTCTATCCGGCAAAGCTAGACAAGCAATCAAATTCAAAGAAATCCAATCGTGGACTGACTTAAATAATACTCTTAAGTCCACTTTAGAACCACAGAGGACAACTAATCATCTCTACCTAGAGCTATATTGTACCAAACAGGCTCCTAATGAAGATGTTATTTCTTATGCCAATCGTGTAGAATGTCTACAATCACAAATTTTAGAACAAGAAACAAATGGAAAAAGCACTGAAGCAGCTACCACCCTTGAGCAAAGCCTTAAACCTCAAACAGTCCAAGTGTTCATCGAAGGTTTAAATAATCTTAAAGACTTTATAAAAGCTCGCAATCCACCAACATTAGAGAAGGCTATTCAAGCCTCCCGTGAAGAAGAGCGTGTCCGAAAATCATGGCACGAATCTAGGAAGTTGACCCCTACAATAGGAGGAAAGTCAAAAGTTATGTGTTTTAATTGTACAAAAACTGGTCATTTAGCAAAAGACTGCAGGTCTTCTTCAAATCATACGCATAAACCATTAAATTTTAGTAAGCCTAAATCTAATTTGCAAAGCTATCGTCCTAACTTGGCTCGCGTACAAATGGTTGTGTGTCGTTATTGTAAAAAATGTTGTCTACCCAATTCATCAGACAAACTCGGGCACTGCCAGACTTCTACTTGATTCCGGTAGTGACCTAAACCTCATTAAAGTATCATCTTTTAAAAGTAGTGTGATTTTTTATGATCACATAATATATCATTTGAAGGGCATAACTAACGAACTAGTTATGACATTAGGATGACTACCTTAACTATACAACTAAATAACCAATTCCTTCAAGCAGAGTTCCATTTAATTCATCCTGACTTTCCCATATCTCATGACGGTATCCTAGGAAAACCTTTCATAGTAGGACATCAGACTCTCATAAATTATGGAACCAATGAATTAATCATTTCTAATTCAGCCGGTATTGTTATCTCTCCTCGATCAGAAACTCTTATTACCATACCTCTTAATTCTTTCTCAGTCAATTAACGAAACTCTCGTAAGTGGAAATGTCGTAACTCAGGTCCAAGGCAATCGCGTATTACTTTCTATTTTAAATCCGTCAGAACAACCCGAACATCTTCAGATACCAAATCTCGAAAGTCTTAATTACGAAGAATATCTAGAAGTATCTATAAATATTACGCAGTCACAATCCCAAAGTAACTTCGATGGAAGCAGAATTAGTCGACTTAAGCAAGCTCTTCGTACTGATCATCTGAACAATGAAGAACGAAATTCATTGGAAAGCATTTGCAGTCAGTTCTCCGACGTATTTCATTTAGAAGGGGATCCAATTACGCATACTACAGCGGTATATCATGAAATTAAAACACCTGATAATGTACAGCCGATAATGGACAAGCCCTATCGACTCTCTTACAAACACAAGAATGAGATTAATGAACAAATAGCACAACTCGAGAAAGAGGTAGTTATAGCTGCTAGTGAATCTCCTTGGAATGCGCCATTATTAGTAGTACCAAAAAAACCAGACATATATGGAAATATCAAATATCGCGTCTGCGTTGATTTTCGAAAAATCAATCAGGTCTCTCAAGGAGATGCCTATCCTCTTCCTAACATCACTGATATCCTTGACCAGCTTGGTAAATCTCGCTATTACAGTACTCTTGATCTAGCAAATGGTTATTATCAAGTCCCTATGTTACCCGAACACCGTGAAAAAACCGCTTTTTCGACTGACAAAGGTCATTTTGAATTTATTCGTATGCCTTTTGGTTTGAAAGGTGCACCAAGCACATTCCAACGCCTGATGAACAAAGTTTTAATTGGCATAAATGGAGTAAAATCTTTCGTTTACTTAGATGATATAATCATATATGCTAAAAATTTAGACGATCATTCTCAAAAGCTCACAGAATTCTTTGATAGACTTAAACAATATAATCTAAAATTGCAACCTATTAAATGTGAATTTCTCTGCAAGGAAACTCAATACCTAGGTCATGTTATTACAGACCAAGGTGTTAAACCTGATCCAAGAAAAATAGAATGCGTTCAAAATTTTCCTGTACCTAAAAATGTTAAGGAAGTTAAGTCATTTCTTGTATTATCCGGTTATTAACGACGATTTATTGAAAATTATGGGGAAATTGCAAAACCTTTGACAGCTCTCTTAAAAAAGGATGTCCCATTTACTTGGAATGACCTTTGCCAAGAATCTTTTCAGACGTTAATATGCGTATTAACACAAGCTCCAATTCTTCAATGTCCTGACTTTGAGAAACTCTTTGTCCTCACTTGTGATGCTAGCAACTATGCCGTAGGTTGTATCTTGTCTCAAGGTCCTATATGAAGGGATTTACCTATAGCATTCGCATCCAATCCCTTAGGTGGTCATCAGGGNTATCATTCAAGAATTTCACCTAAATCCCTTAGGTGGTCATCAGGGTATATCACGAACTATCAATAGATTAAAGAAACAACACTCATGGATCGGTATGAATCATGACGTGGCTGAGTTTAT